CGCATTGGGGTTCCGCAATAATGAGCAGTTCCCAAGCCCCCAGGATGGGCACCGACCGTTGCAAGGCAAGTTTATGTATAGTACATTTCAACACAAGGCAATTCAAAGTGCTTTACAAAAATGAAAGACATTAAGAGCATTAAGAAACATATTATGAAATGACATTTAAAAACACTCATTTGAAAGCAAATATACATTAATAAAAGTTACAGTGCAGTGTGAGATACATACATCTGAAATGTTTAGGTCTGACTCTCAATCATTGCTAACTTTTTAGCAGAAATCGTTTTCTATCACCTCCCTTTCCTTCTACTTTCTTGTTTAACTTGTCCTTTAGTTATTTCAAGTGTTTCATGCTAAACGAACCCCCCTTTGGAAAATTATAATCTGACTCCATGGTACCTTTTAGTTTTCGCCGAAACTATTCCTCTTTTTTATTTTTAAATGCACATAGTTAAGCTTACCTTGTCTTTCTAGGACTTTTTTTGGTATCCTCCGTGAACCAGGGTCTTGAAACCAAAACGGCACACGGAGGGGACTTTTACCACCTACGAAGGGACTTTAACCCCAATAATGACTTTAACTACTACGGGGGGACTTTAACCCCAACACAAGTAGGGGACTTTAACCCTAAGTTAAAGTCATTATTGGGGTTAAAGTCCCTTCGTAGGTGGTAAAAGTCCCNAAACTATTTAAATTAGAGTGTGTATTTTTCTTTCATATTGCCACACTTGCTAACCGTTTTATAAAAGCAATAGCTTCGCGTCGGGCCGAACCACGCCCCTTAGCTGTGATATAATGAGCATACCACGGCCTGTCGTGAGCTATTGCTTAAATAACTTATGACACTGTGACATTATATATATAGGCACTTATGTTAATATTAAGTATCATAATACTTCATGTTTGAAGATCACTTGTTTTTTTCGAAATACATTAAAATATTTCAAAATTAATTATAATCACTGTAATAAAGCATTGAAATGCGATTATTAGTAACGCTAATTGAGCATTGGATAACTAAATATTAATTTTACAACATTTTGAGTTTTGTTCATGTATATTTTTGCTATTTTTAATTTATAATACTCACATTCTAATGCATTATTACTCATTATAAATCACTCATAAGATTATAATGTATTATAACTATGAGAATGATAAAACACCTTGATCCTAGCAAAACATTTGAATGAGTGACCGGCATTTATGAAGCAGCCTATGATGATAAAAAGTATTTATAATGTGTTGCGATTATTGCTCTAAAGCAGTATGAATGTGTATAAGTGCTTTCAACAATAATTATACAATCACATAACAGATTAAAACACATTATAAGTGTGTTTATAATGGGAATAGAAATTGACGTCACAGAAAGATGTGTCTATGAAGCCTTTCTATATAAGGATGTGTTGGTGTTCGTGTGTGTGCGCAGGGTCTCGCTGGTTAATGGATCTGGAGCTCCTACAATGAAAGGAAACTCTCCGACTTGTGATTAGGGCAGGAAGAGTCCAACTTCCTGGCCACCACCCATTTCCACCTCTTCTTCGTCCTGCTGTTTTTCCTCCTCCTTCAGTTTCCCCTCTCCTCTGTAGTGGCGGCTTCTAGAAGTTACTATTTGTGTTCCCCTGCGCGGGGAAGCTCGCCTCGTCCTGGTATTGTTTTGGCATCTCAGCCCCAGACCCGGGGTCAAATCCTAATGCTTTATAGACTTTGTTTAGGCCGACATGGGTGCCAGATGGGTGGCGCTTAGCCAAAATGAAAGTGAAGTTGTTTATCATTTTGGTGCCACAACCCCCAAATGCAAGATAAGGTCCCAACCTTCCATTTGATCAAATTCTAGCCCCAGGTTTTGTTTTGGTTGATTTTGTAATAATGTAGAAGATTACAGAGATTTGAGTGAAACCTATTTCTCTTTAATGAGGTGTAATTGCTTCATAAGTAAAAGTGGAAGTAAACAATGTCTAATTTTAATGGGGAAACCCCCTAAAGATCCCTCCTGTCCCTGAGTCACCAACCCTTAAAGGTCCCTACAATGTCTAACTGCCATTGCAAACTTTCTCCGACAGCATTCTGGCTTCATTATAAAACAGTGTGTGTCTGTGTGTGTGTATCTGGCTTGGATCCACACCCAACTGGCTCTACTTGAGGTTCAATCAAATATGTACATCTGTCAGCATCTGATTAAAACGATTCTAATGTTGACTTGCTAAATTCATAATTTAATGACTGTTGTAACTTTATGTAATAGGAAAGGCAGGTGACATCAGTCTGTTCACTTAGTGTCAGTGTCCTTAAATAATTATAATACTCATATTTAATATTGACAAAATATCATTTAACTTAATGTAATGTGAAAGGTGTAACTTTATAATGACTAACCCAATGATAGTTATCACCTGACTCTGAAATGTTCCACTCTCCAATATGTTAGTTTATTTAAGCTAGCACTTGCTTTGTGGCCTGCAACACACTATTCTGTCTAGCCACTTGTTCTCTGATAAAGTTACTGAACAGTACATACCATGCACCAAAGTACAGACAGACAAAGTTAGCAACTAGCTGGTGGACATATTGTAGCATTTTGCCGATATAAACAGATTTTTCACTTAGGAGTTGGAGGAGACTAAAACAGAGCAAAGATATGTGTGAATATTGGATTTGTACTTGTCGGGAGACCAAAAATCCCACTCCAAATTAAAGTTAATGTTTCTCTGAATGTCTTAGTGGAAAACTATTGGGTAACAAGATAACCATAAAAATACCACATGCTGTATTAGGTGAGATTATGTCACTGCTGGGTAAACACGTGTTTTGTGCTGCCCATTGAAGACCAAAAATAAATGTACATTTTAAGGCTGTTTTCAATAAGTGAAATACCATTCATGTACCAGCAACAAATATAAGATATGCTCCATAATTGAATTATTACCAAGTTCGACCAAGTTTCATCATCCAGTTTTTCAGTAATCCTACTAAATCCTGCTGTCAAGAAGTTATTCAAATCACATAATAAAGTTAGTTACTCAAATTAAAAGTATTATTTGATATGGCCCTGATTCAAGTTCAATCTATATTTGTGAAACATGCAAATAAAGTCATAGATATCTTTATTTCTCCTTTTCCCTTTTTTCATTGTGAACCATGCTAACATGCAGCCCTCCCTGTTTTGCAAATCTGTGCTTAATTAGTCGCTAATTAGGGGAGCTTGTTTCAGAGCATGAGTCTCTGCACTGTGTCAATCTGATAAAAGTTAGTCGATAGTCTTTCAATTACGTTTTTTACCTAAAGTATGTGCGCCGGTTTACTTTGGACCTAACCTCTGAAGTCTGTCTGATACAATATTGCTTTCCTCTTGACAGGCCTGCACTCCCTATTGAGGCGTTTCCATGAGTTTGACCTCTTCCCTCATCACAGTAAGTGGCTAAAATAAGTAAAGTTGTTTGCAAGCTGCTGCTTTGTATCATATTTGGGTATGTTTTTATAAGTAAAAAATATTGGAGTAGTAAGTGTTTATCAACACTTTATAATTGCATGAGCAGTGATGTAAATATCTCTAATGTTACTTCAGAGAATGAAACACTTCTGACCCTCTGGATATGTAATCATTGACCTCTTTAGACTGCAGACAGGTCACAGTTTACATCAGTTCACCACTGCCTCTCGTTGTGAGGAGCTACAATGATCATCTTCACTTTATTTTCAGGAAGCAGCTTCCGGCCACACGCTCAGCTGAGGTGACCCCCCCCCACAGCTTCCCGCAAGGTAAGCCAAGGTGAGCCACAGTGCACATGCTGAATAGAGTCATGGTGTTTGCACAGTGGATGTGAAGTCCAGTGATGGTCAGAGACGATGGGGGGTGGGGGCAGGG